AAGTATTAAGGAGAGAAAGGACACAACAACAGCAGCTTTTATTTTTATGTATTAAATAATATTTCAATAAAACCCAAATTTCTGCAGTAGGCAGAGATTTGGGCACCCACTCCACAATTAATGTATTTGTGACCCTACACAGATAGTATCGCAGGACCACAGCCCTCACTCTGGGCATGTCTACTAGGAAATTATTTCAAAATAACTAAATTCAAAATAATAATTCCTGAAATAACAACATCAAATTAGCATGTCCCCACTAGGGGGGAGCCTCAAAATGAGTCTGAGGAAGACTCTGTTATTGGGGATGTGCTACCTTGACTTAGAGTCCCAGGGGAATAATTACTTCAGTTTACTCTGGGGAGTCATTATTTTGAAATAGTAGCAGTGGAGCATCCACACTACCTCTATTTCAAAATAACTATTTCAAAATTAGCGTTATTTCTTGAGGAAAGCAGGAGTACAGATTTATTATTTAGAAATATTTTGAAATAAGGGGGTTGGTAGTGTGGACGCTTCACTTCTTATTTTGAAATAAGGGGGGCTATTTTGAAACAACTACCTAGTGTAGACCAGGGCTGATTGTGTGTGTGTGTGTGCGTGTGTGTTGCAAATGGATAACAAATGGAGAAACGTGTCATTTGCTAGAAGTGACAGCGAAAATGGGGATGAGTGAAGTACCGTCAAAGTAGACGGCCCTTAGATATGCTGGAGCTGTTTTTTTTTCTTTTACATGTGGATTAACACCAGTGAAAACAAGAAGGTTGCATCTGGTGAGAGGGAAATCAAACCCACTGGGTCTTGTAATTTCTGATCCAATCAAGCAAAACATTAAAGCATTACATTGTAAGATCTTCGGGGCATTTTTGGTTTGTGTTTGTGCAGGACCTAGCACACACGTGTCTTAAAAAACTTAAACAGCACCTTAAAGACTAACAAAACATGTAGATGGTATCATGAACTTTCATGGGTTGTACCTACAACTGTAAGAGCTATGCACTCCCTCTGCATCCAATCAAAGCATTACAACGCTTCAATCGGCACAGCCTGCACATTCTAGGTATGCAATCACAGTTAGCAAAACTACCCTAAGCTGGTAGTCCGTCTTGGTTACTACAATCTTGACGGTGAAGGAGGGACACTCATTCAGCCTATGCATTAGCCTAGTTTGCCCATCAAGATAATGCTTAATCCTGCCACGAGTGCAGGTGACTGGACTAGATAACCTCTCCAGGTCCCTTCCAGTTCTTTAATTCTGTGATCATCAGTATGGATGTTTTTTGGGCCATCCTGTATAGTACATAGATATGCCTCTTCTGGCTTCATTGGCCCTGCAGGTGCTCAAGTCTTCTCCATGTTGTGTATTGGGGTTGTAGATATGGATCTTGTTGCTATAATAACTGAGTTAGGTCACTTGGGGTCAGCCCAGATCATTTGGGCTGGTTCTAGTTAGCTCTGTGTTATGACATAAATGGACACTTGCAACTGCTCAAGCTCTCTGTGTTTCCACTGATTGCTTTCTAACCCGTGGAACTCCAAATGATATAACATTCCAGAACTGTCTCACAGAAGGTCAATGTCACTCAGTGTTCCTGGATCATCATCCATAGCCTAGTGAAGCGACAACATTCAAACCAAGGCCGGGATCATATTTTTCCTTCACTGTCTCCCTTTCCTGTCATGGTAAAGCCTGAGCCATGTGGTTGATGGCAATGGGATTACACTGCCGTAAAACAGGCACCACCAAGAAAAGAATTGGGCACACACTCTAAAATAATGCATTATTTAAAGGTATGGGCCAGCATCTAACTATTGAGGATTAGGAAGTACGTTCTGTGGGGGCAGGTTACTATATAACTGCCTATTGTGGGATTGGTGCACCTTTTTTCTGAAACAGTTGGTACTTGCCTCTGTCAGAGGTGGAATACTAGATCAGATCGAAACCAATTCCAATTCAATCTGGCAGTTTCTGTGTTCTGCTGGAGTTAACTATGCAGACTGACACAGCTCAGCATTGTGTTGCTGTGCTAATGGCAAAAGTGGGTATTTATCAGAAAGTCCATCCATTTTTCTTTATAATTTCTGCTCTGCTACTCTTAGCTTTTCTGTATGCTAAAGATGGATTTATGTATGTCACTGACAATGGTGCTTGTGGTCTTTTCCTCTGGCACCACAGAAGAGGTCAAGCCGCAGACTAAAATTATGATGGGTCAAAGGAGAAGGTGTTAAAGAGTATTCTACATTTATTGTGATTGCTGGAAGACAACAGTATTTCAGCAGCGGTTTACAACCCAGTGGACATTGGTCTATTTGTGAAGTTGGCATTACAGTATTTCAGCAGAGCTTTACAACCCAATGGACATTGGTCTATTTGTGAAGTTGGCATCTGGGTATTTTATTGATAAACTTAAGCCTTAGTAAATTATCATCCTACAAAAGTTAAGTGGATAATGGTTACTCAGGACTCATATTTGGAAGCAATTGAATTAATCTGGACCAATTTTGATCTTCTATTTTTTTCTTGCCATTTCTAGAAAGCTTTTACCCATCCTTTGAACTTGCAAATATTTTCTTTTGCCTTTCATAGATTCTAGGTTCAGTGATGACCATTGCGATCATCTAGTTTGACCTTCTATAGACCACAGGCCAGAGAACTTCACCAAAATAATTCCTGTTTGAACTAGAGTGTGTAGTTTAGAGGGAAAAAATCCAATTTTGATTTTAAAATGGCTCATGGGGAAACTACTACATCCCTTAGTCCATGTCTACACAGCCAGCAGTTATTTTGAAATAATGTCAAAATACTGTCAAGTTGGAGGACTTCTTACTCCGACTCCTGTAACGCTCATTGTACAAGGAGTAAGGAGAGTTGGAGGAAGAATGCTCTATTTCAAAATAAATGCTGTGTAGACATTCCCATTTTCAAAATAAACTGTGCAATTGATGTAGCTCTATTTGCATAGCTTATTTCGAGTTAAGCCCTGCTACGTAGACACACCCTTAGTTAGTTGTTTCAAGGTCAAGATACCTTTGTTGGTACAAAATATATGCCTTATTTTCAATCTGAGTTTGTCCAGCTTCAACTTCTGGCCATTGGCTCTTGTTTATCTTTGGAAATTGTAAGATTTCTTTGCTATTTAATATTGTTCCTCACATAGGTCACTCCATAACCTTTCTTTGTTAAGCCAAATAGACACAAGGAGCTTTATCACTATACGGTATGTTTTCTAACCCTTGAATCGTTCTTGTGGCTCATCTCTGAACCTTCTCCGACGTATCAACATCTTTCTTGACTTGTGGGCCCCAGAACTGAGCCCAGTATCCCAGCAGCAGTCGGTCGCACCATTGCCACATACAAAACATATTACCACTTCCCTGCTCTTAGTTGAGGGTCCCTTGGCTGTGCATCCATAGTCACTTTTGACCACAGCATCACACTGGCAGCTCAAGCTGAGCGGACTATCCGCCCATGACTCACGTCTTTTTCAGTCGGCAAAGTCTCCCATCCTAGGAGTAGGCTACATTCTATAGTCTTTGCTTCTAGGTGTATGACTTTTCATTCGGATGTGTTGAAATGCAGGTTTTCTTGTGTCCAGCTTACCAAGCCACACAGATCACTCATGTTAGAGCTTGTCTTGGTCTCCCACCACGTATCTGTCTGTATCCATCTATTGACCCCTGTCATTCATTTAACAGATCTTTGGGGAAGGGACTGTCTTTGTGTTCTGTGTTTGTACAGCAACTAGACCAACGGGGCTCTGCTTCTAGGCCTGGTGAGGATACAAATAATAATCTAAACACAGAATTTGTACCGCTTTCAATTAGGCTGGTATGTTTCCAATAGCACAATCACCTGTAGTATGATGCAGATATTTCTATAGGAAGTATAGCTATCCCTGTATGGGAAGGGCAGTAGGCTACACTGGTATGAGATGTCTTCACACTGTAACAATGCACTAGGGCAGTGGTCACCAACCAGTAGATAGGATGCACTGGTAGATCTGGGAGTCTCTGATAGGTGATCCTGACTAGTTTGGCCAAGAGGCTGTCAAGTGCTGGCACGTCAGCTGTCCCTTCACCCCACTGCTGAGCATCTCCTGCCTTTTGTCTTGGAGCTGCCCCTCCCTCTGGGAGCCTTCTGCTGTCTGGGCAGGGCAGGGGAGGGAGAGGAAGATGCTGATGTCAGGGTACCCCTCCTCCACTCTGTATCCTTTCTCCACAGAGCAGAGAGGGGGCACAACAGGACTTGGGAGGGAGTTTGCTGGCTGCTTCAGGGAGTGCAGCAGGGCCAGGGCAGAGGTGAGCCTGCCTTAGCCCCACTGCATCACCACCCAGGAGCCACCTGAGGTAAGTAGTGCCCAGCTGGAGCCCACATCCTGAAGTCTTGCCCCAGTCATGAGCCCCATCCTATACCTCAAGCCCTTGTCTTAGCCACAAACACCCCTGCATCCAAATGCCATCCCAGAACCTGCACTTAGTACCCCTCCTACATCCCAACTGCCTGCCCCAAGCTCAGCTCAGAGCCCCTCTCACACTCCAGATCCCGTAATCTATGACCAGAGCCTGCACCCCAACCCTCTGCCCCAGCCTGGTGAAAGTGAGGGAGGATGGGCCAGAGAGGGAGGATGGAGTGAGCAGGGGTGGGGTCTCGGAAAAGGCCAGGAAGGAGGTGGAGCAAGGGTATTTATATTTGAGGTAGATCTTGGATTGCACTTGAATTCAAACAATGATCTCGTGCTTTAAAAGGCTGGAGACCACTGCACTAGGGGCTCTAGTTGTATAACTGTATCAGTTAAAAAACATACACCAAAACAAAATATTTACACTAGTATAAAAACGTGTGTGTATACCAGGCCTCAGTAAGCAGGCCAATTTGAGCAAATGTTTCCAAATATATAGCGGAATATCAACGTATATAATAGACTTCCAAGCCGCAACATTAAGACAGATATCTAATTTAATTCCATTCTAAGCTTTTGTTAACTTTATTAATTTTTCCTGAAGGTTTCAACTCTGACATGGAACTGACTAATTGACTTTCTGATCCACGATGCTGTGGAAAGAAGGGGCGACGAGATAATCCTGGAGAGAGGAAGGAAGGCCTTTGGCAGCTGAAAGGGTAACTAATTTATCTTCAAAGTCAACAAATATCCAGGCATCAGGAGACTCACATAATTAATTTATCCGAGGAGATTCACACTGCTCAGTCACACAGCAGTGCTCTGGATGCTAGAGTCCTTATGCTATGAAGGCAAATTTGGGTCCAGATCCTCTAGGGGAGTAAATCAGCATAGACCCATTGACTCCTGTTGAGGACCCAACTCCCTTACTCCAAGCAAATTCTGAGAGGAGTTTAGAGAGCTGTTAACCCAGCCTTTCTAGGTGGCAAACATTAATTTGACATTTTCTGAACTCCAGCTAGCAATCTTATAAATATAACTGTTAGCACACAGATGTTAATTATGTTCTCTAAATTTTTTCATTCCCTTAGTTTGACTTCAGTCAAATATATTAGTACCTGGTACGGTATTACGTTGGTGCTGCTGTACTATATGGGTGTGTCTAGACTACAGGGTTTTGTCGACAAAAGTGGACTTTTGTCGACAAAATTATACCTGCGTCCACACTGCCTTTGAGTTATGTCGACATAACGTCGACAAAACTCAGCAGTTTTGTCGACGTATGTAAACCTCATTCTACGAGGAATAACGCCTTTTGTCGACCGAGTTCTGTTGATAGACGGCATTATTGCATCTACACTGTCCTTTGCGTCCACACTGTTATGTTGACAAAGCGGCTTGCTTTGTCGACAGAACTGGATGTAGTCTAGATGCTCTTTGTCAACAGAAGATTTGTCGACAGTATCTGTCAACAAAACTTCTGTCGACAAAACCCTGTAGTCTAGACATACCCTATAAGTCAGCCCTGCAGCAGGTACCCCTGACATCAGTAATGCTTGAAACTCACAATCAAGGTTTTGTCTTTTGCAAATTTGACAGCCTGAACTGATGGGAACCCACAATCTTGTAATCTTGGCCTTAATTGAATGATGTTACCTCCAAAAGCTAGGTAGCTATTCCCACAAAAGTAGGCTGTCATTAGCTGCATCCCAGCTATAGGAAGGGATTAGCTACAGACCCTACCAAATTCATGGCTATGAAAAATGCATCATGGACCATGAATCCAGTCTTCTGTATGCTTTACAGATGTCATGGGAGAGCCTCTCTCAAACTGGGGGTCCTGACCCAAAAGGGAGCTGCAGATGGGAGGGTCTCAAGGTTATTTTAGGGGAGTTGCCTTCAGTGCAGTTCTTGGCCAGGTGCCCAGTTCTGAAGGCAGCGCCCTTTTAGCGGCAGCATAGAAATAAGGGTGGCAATATCATTCCAGGCCAAGCTTCTGCATTGCTGCCGTCAGAGATGGCCGGCTGGAGAGTGGTAGCTGCTGACTGAGGGCCCAGCCCTGCAGGTAGCAGCACAGAAGCAGGTGGGGGAGGGAAGGGGAGGAGGCAACACCATACCGGGCCAGTCTTACCACTGTGCTACTGCTGGTGGAGGCTCTACCTTCAAAGCTGCCCTCTAGGGGTACGTCTAAACTACATGCCTCCGTCGACGGAGGCATGTAGTCTAGACACACCCTAGCTGCCCAGCTCTGAAGGCATTGCCCCTGCCAGCAGCAGCACAGAGGTAAGGGTGGCAGCATTGCAACGCCCCCCTACAAAAACCTTGCAACTGCCACACAATTCCTTTTTGGGAAGGGATCGCTAAAATTACAACATGGTGAAATTTCAGAGTTAAATAGCTGATATTATTAAATTTATTATTTTTTAATCCTATGACCATAACATTGCCCGAAATAACAGGGGTGCTGGATCAGTTTATATAGGGGGTACTAAGAGCCAAAGAAAATTATGAACCTGGTATATGATGAAAGCCACTTCAAGCTGGGGGGGGGGGAGTGCTTGATCCCCCACCCCGCACCCTTAGTTGCAGCACCTCTGAAAATGGGCCAAGAATTTGTTGGGGTTCTAACTCTAGAATGGAATTAGTTTCAGTATAATTAGTAATAGATTTAACAATAGCCCTAAATTATTCATTTCAGTGAATCCCAAAGCATGTTGCAACCTGTTCTACAAATGACTTACAGGAACACTTCGGGCCGGATGTATGCTCATGCTGCTGTGTAGACTACAAACACTGCACATCCAGCTAGCACCAATGTAAATAACAGTATAAACAGTGAGGCACGGCTTAAGTGAGTAGGGAGATGCCTGAACCATGTAGGAATGGCCCCTACGAGGCATTCTACACACCAAGCAGCACATCTGCTGTCTCCACTGCTGTTCGTAGCAATTTAGTGTCCTCTGGCTGCTGGAGCCTTTCCCCGCTGCCCGAGCCTTTCACTGCTGCATACAGCTGCACACCACAGAGAACGGGGATGCAGCAGCCCCCTTTTACTCTGGCACATAGCTACCCACGTCCTGCCTGCTGCCGCAGTGGTGAACAAGACCTAGAGATGCAGGGCTGTGTCTAATGGGATTTCAAAAGAGCCCCTGCCGGCGACGCTGATTTAAATGGGCGTTAGGCATTCAGCCTGTTTGGACACTTGTGAATGTCCCAGTGGACACATACCTGCATCTGTAGAGGCCAAAACACCTATGAAAATCGGCCTTTGCCCCCTGGAACTGACATGATAGTTCCACCCTGCTCAGCAATGCTACCCAGCCATTTGGGCAAGGCCAGCGGAACTGAACACAGGAAATACTGGTCCACCTGATGGAGCTACCCGGGGTCGAATTTGGTTATGGGGCGGGGGGAAGTACGCTGAAGACTTGCAATATCTTCACCTCCTTCCCCCAATGCTGCTGCACTCGGAGTCTTGCAAAAATCCACCCGGGGGGTTAATGATAATCAACTGACAGAGCCTCATCCAAAGAACTGTGCATCCTGCAGCACAGTAGAGGAAATGGCCATGGCAGAGCTTCTGCTTGGTGGTACCAAGAGGGGAGCCAGGCCCTCTGCTGAGTCACCATTTCTTGCAATTCCTGCAGCAGCCCCATTGGTCTCCACGGAGACACTCCCAGTAGATTTGGTGGGGGTTGGATTAGCCCCCGTAGTACATCTGCCTTGCGTAGGTTGTAAAGTCTGGCGTACCAGGGTACAGCATGACCAACAGCCGTACACAACAACCTCATTACCTTAGGAGTCAGATTAGCCACTTGGCTTTTGTAAGGCAATGGTTTGCTAAGGCTTCACTTTATTAGGCCAGCGTTTCCTGCAGCCCTGAGAACAAGTCCCACTGTTAGTCCCCTTGTCATTGTGGTTTTTGTGCCCAGACCATTGCCCGTTGAAATCAATGGAAAAACTCCCATTGACTTCAGTGGACATTGTACCAGACCTATTTTCAACAGCATACAGACAGGCTGGAATCAAACTCCTGGATATGAATGTTCCTAAATTCAGATCCATTGGGTAAAATGAAACTTGAGGCTAAACTCTTGAGTTTCATAAAGCCTTTTACATGTATAACCTTTCCCAGGGAATCGGAAAGGCTGCTTAGGATCCCTGAAGATTAGTAGATCCCAGTATGTAAAGCCCGGCATGGATACAAAATTGAAAGTAGGAATAAGAGATCCTCCGGAAAAGGGCTTTATTCCGGAGGATCGTGCCAGTCTAGACGCTTTTTTCCGGCTTTTCCCCAAGCCGGAAAAAAAGCGGCGGACATGTTTATTTAAATCCGCGGGGGATATTTAAATATCCCCCGCGGATTTCCCTATTCTGACTTACCTGCTTTGCATCCCTTTTCCGGAATTTGGGGCCAGTGTAGACGTAGCCAATGTGTATCCACATCCCTATCTGCAAAAATGAGCTGTGGCTATCTGCATTCACATCCACAGATATAAAGCAGATATCCACAGATTTGCCAAACTCCACCAGTATGCTTATCGGTAGGATGTTAGCTGCTCTCACAAGAATTCTTATGATTCCACAATATTCTGACGTGAAAATAGCAGGTTTCCTTGGGAATAGCAGAAAGTTGAGCTCAGAAACTTTCACATAAAACTCAGCTAAGTAGCCTGTTCTCAATCCCCACACTTCCTTGTTGTCTATGAATTCGCTAGAAGACTTATCCAGCATTTCCCAGGTCCTTCAGGGCAGGGGGCTGGTGGTGTGGGGGGTCCAGGACTCAGATCAGGGCCTTGGGGATGTGGGGAGATCAGGGCAGGAATCAAGTGCATGGGAGGGTGTGAGAGTTGGAGAGAAAGGGTTGGGGAGAGGAGGGGCTCAGGGCAAGGGATGAGGAGGAACTGAGGGCAGGACATGGGGATGACTGCTGGCTTCTCCATTGCAATGGCCTCCTGCAATGAGGTGTAACAGTTAATCCGAACTAAGGACTTAGTTCCGATTAATTTCTGACTGCTGCGTGTAGCCACGGGCAGTCAGTTCGAACTAAGGGGATTTAAAAATGGCGCTCGCCTGGGAACATGCAAATGAAGCCTGGGATATTTAAATCCCGGGCTTCATTTGCAAGTTCGAATGCCTACATTAGCCACCCTAGTTCGAACTAGGGGGCTAGTGTAGACATACCCTCTCATATCATGTCCCTAGGAACAGAAGCTGCTCCCTTTGCATGTTATGAAAAACAGTCTTTTTCCCAGCACTTCCGGTTGTCCTGGCACAAGCCAGCCCTGGCCTTGTTTTAAATTAGGATAAGAGGAAGCCGCATACGGAATTTGGTGGCCCCAACTCTTACCATATAGGATTAAATGGACTCGCAGCCAGACACACTGTAAAATATATAGATCTATTACAAAAGGTCGGCTAATGACCATCTAATGAACTATGATCCTGGCTACTCACAAAATTATCACCTGCAGAGTAATTTGGTACAATTCTCGGTGTCTCATTCCAGCGATTTCTTTCTTCCCATCCTCTCCTCTCAGATCAAGTGTGATGGGCACAAACGCTGCAATTAGTCCCCACAGCACAGAATATTTTTTCAGCTTCATGGTCCACTAAATTTAATCTTTTCATTGGATTGACCATGGCAGCAGCATCTGAAATAAAAACCTTCCTGCTGTTGTAACATTAATGATGCTTTAAGGAAAGCAGTGTATGGTAGAACAAATAAATATTCCACACTTCCTGAGTTAACAGCCCAATACCCTAAATTATTTTCTCTGGTGCAGCTTGTCAGTGTTTTTCTGTTTAAGTTATTATAGACTGAGATTCCCTCCCTCCCCAGGTAAACAAGCAAACAAATACACACACACACAGTTCCTTATTTGTTATGAGTTATTTTTGAATTGCTAGTTGTTTATAATCCCCCACTATAATTATAAATGTAATTGTGACCTCAACTACAGAACTTCACAACACTCCTCCATAATTATCATTAATACGATAAGCCAAATTTCCCGCTGATGCAAACTGGCACAACTCCATTAAAGTAATTTGTATTTACAACACTAATGTAAAGGCATTGAGAATTTGGCCCATGGGTAGGAGATTGTTTTATACTGTAGTGTGTGTGTGTGTGTGTGTGTGTGTGTGTGTGTGTGTGTGTGTGTGTGTGTCACTGCCCTCTGCACTGCCCTCTGCAGGATGAAGTCAGAAGAGCTCATCTATTTTGTCTTAACCCCTATACTGCTTTACCAAGGGCTGTGGTGGATTTTCCATCACTGAGCAATTTTAAATCAAGATTGGGTGTTTTTTCTAAGAGAGCTGCTCAAGGAATTATTCTGAGATATTCTATAGCTTGTGTTATACACAAGGTCAGACTGGATGATCACAGGGGTCCTCGTGGCCTTGGAATTTTTTGAATCTATGCATACTAATGAATTTATCTGCACAGCATGCCTCTGAAGCTGGTGTTATCCCCACAGGAGCTGACAGACTCACCGGACCTCTGGGCAAAGGGCGGGGGCCGGCTCTGTGCTCTTGGAAGGGGTGGGACTTCAGGCAGAAGGGGTGGGGCTGGAACGGCCAGTATCTGCACCACTTGGACTGCAGGGTGCTTCCCTCCCGCCGCTGCTTGGATGGCGCAGCATGGAGTTCCAGTGGTTATTTAAAGGGCCCAGTCTCCATCTGGCACTGCCAGCTGGGAGCCCCTGGCCCTTTTGAATCACCAGATTCCTGGCCAGTTGCCCCCTTTACTGTCCCTCTCAGTGGGAGCTGAGGCAGATAGATTTAAAGGTTTAGCTATAGTGGTTCAGGGAGTCTACAGTACAACCAGGCATCAATCACCTGCCTTCCAGATCCTGCTCTGGTGCTCTAACCAAAGGTCATTCCTTCCTGCTCTGCCACACCCTGGCAATTCTCTTTTAACACAAATGAGATGCTGCTGCAGTTTGGGATCCTGATCATTGTTACTCCACCCTGCTTTGAGCCTGTAATTCCAGCTGGTACTGAAGCAGGAAATGCAGAAATGGGGACGAGAAATCCTTTTCAAGAAAGCCTCATAGGCTGTGTCCAGACTCCATGCCTCCGTCGACAGAGGCATGTAGATTAGCCAGCTCGGAAGAGGGGAATGAAGCCGCGATTTAAATAATCGCGGCTTCATTTAAATTTAAATGGCTGCCCCGCTCTGCCGATCAGCTGTTTGTTGGCAGATCGGGGCAGTCTGGTGTGTCTAGACTACATGCCTCCTTCGACGGTTTCACGAGGCTTACCTGTGTCGATGAAGAAAGGCTTCTTTGTCGGGGCATCGCGTCCAGACTCTCCCGATCTGCCGACAAACAGCTGATCGGCAGATCGGGGCAGCCATTTAAATTTAAATGAAGCCGCGATTATTTTAATCGCGGCTTCATTTCCCTCTTCCGAGCTGGCTAATCTACATGCCTCCGTCGACGGAGGCATGGAGTCTGGACACAGCCTTAGTGTAAGATTTCAGAGCTGGGCCTTAGAGGGAGTTGAATCAAAACTGTTGATTCAACCTTCCCAAACTTTGAACATATTCTGAGCTTTGATCCCAATTGTATCTTTAGTAGCAAAAGAGCTGGCTTTAAAATATGGTATTGGCAGTAATGCAGGAAACCTACAGGCCATTTTCCTCACCCACCTTAATCATTCAGGCTATGTCTAGACTGCAAGCCTCTTTCGAAAGAGGCTTTTTCGAAAGATACTTTCGACAAAGCCTCTTTCGAAAAAGAGCGTCTAAACTACAATCAGCACTTTCGAAAAAGCAAGTTGCTTTTTCAAAAAAGAGCACCAGGCAGTCTGGATGCTCTCTTTTGAAAAAGCACAGTTGGCATTACATAGAGCACTTTCGAAAAAAGGCATTATTCCTCGTAAAACGAGGTTTTCCATGGTCGAAAAAACTGCCACATTCTTTTGATTTACTTTCAAAAGAATGCGGCAGCAGTCTAGATGCAGGGGAAGTTTTTTCGAAAAAAGGCCACTTTATTTCGAAAAAACCCTGTAGTCTAGACACACCCTCACATTTACAACCAGAACTTCTTCCTCCCTAAGTTTAGACAGGGATGACTCTCTCCAGGTTGGCAGTTTGGCTTTGATTCAGGAAAGCTCCCAAAAATTAAACAGCTTATCCAAAGTGTAGCTGAACTAAGCACTGTCTAAACACATGGGAAAAGAGGGGGGGAGGGTCTCTCAATCCAAAAGTTTACAAACTAAATAGAGAAGACAAAGGGGCACAGAGAGTTTAAGTGACTTTAACCTCACACCTCAGCAGGGCTGAGAATAAAGGATAAAGCTGGAAATATTTGGCCAACCTTTTCTTGGTGAAAAATGCAGATTAAGCAAAGCCAAAACATTTTGCAAATTCATACTGGTTTCACTGAATAGTTCATCCTAAAAAGCCCCCAGACATACACTAAAATCTAGAAAAAAAAACTTTCCAAAATGAAACATTTCAAGTTTGAAAGAGTTTTTCATTTAGAAATTTCCCGGGCTCTGTCCACTAGATTGTGCTGCCTTCAAATTATGTTTCTGATGCTTTACTTAATTTTGTTTTCTATATTAGTTTTCCTGATTTACTCAGACGTTGAAGAAAGGTAGGGAGCCCTCTGCTGCAGTTTATGTTCAGAATATACACAGCCAGTCTATTTCCCTAGCTGTTTCCCCAATATATCTATTTTTAATAATTTGTAATTATTAAAATGTTATTTTTTTGATTGTATAACTATTTAGGAAAGCCAAGATGAAAGTCAAATATGGTAACAGTTTTCTTTCACTTTATTCATCAGGCCTCTGGAAACTAATGAGATTTATTCTGAGAATTAGTTTATAATTGTGCTTTAACTGCACTGTGACATTTAATAATGTCAGAAGGATTTTGCTTTAGGCAGAGCGATTTCAGTCTCTGTAGAAAATTAATTACCACTTTCTGAATAAACTATGGGTTATTTTTTTCCTGTGAGCTAAGCAATATTTTCAAGGTTAAGCTCCTTTCTGATATTTTCCAAAAGTCTTAAAGAGAAAAATGTGTAGTAGAGCTATAGATCTGGCATGCTGGTTTATATTCACTGCTGTACAAGAAACTGATTGCATTAAGCAGTCAGAGTTCTGACAAAGATTTCTTCTTGTCCTTCTTCTTTTCTTTGTATTTTATGATTTATTTGCCCAAGAGTTTTCAAAGGGACTAATGATTTTTGGGAGTCTCCAATTTTGGATGCCCAAGGTGAAAGAAATGATGGGGATCTAATTTTCAGAAAGTGCTGAGGAACAAAAAGTCACTAGTCACTTCTGAAAAACATTGTCATCTTCTGTAAAGTGGGACTAATAGTTAGAACCAGATGAAATTTTCGACTGAAACTTTTTTTGGCCGAGAATATATATTAAGTGACACTGAATCATTTAACAAATTCACGTTCAAGAGAAGGAAAACAATAGTCGAAGTAGAAGGATACTCAATTGATTTTATGGAGATATTAATGGATTATGGTAGCACATTGGAGCTTCTTTTCTATTATTTCCTTTATCTTTTGATGGAACTGTAGAACTTTTTGAAACAAAATCTCTTGGTCTTAAAATTATACTAATATGAGAAGCAAATGGAAACCAGCTAGCAAAGCTGAACACATTTGTTTTGACCCAATCAAAACCCATTTGAATGTTGTGATTTGGAAAATCTGAGTGAAACTTGCACGTTATTAGGTTTGGATTTAGCTGAGACAGAGGGTATGTCCACGAGGAGTAACGGTAGTTCGGACTAGGAAGCCTAGTTCGTGCCGCGTGTAGCCGCGCGGCACGGGGTTCGAACCAGCCGGGATTTAAAAATGGCGGCGCCCAGTTTATGCAAATGAAGCCCGGGAAATTCAAATCCCGGGCTTCATTTGCAAGTGCGGTATGCCTACATTACCCTCCTAGTTCGAATCAGGAGGGTAGTGTAGACATACCCAGAGAGGGGAAGAAGCAGTAGAGTGAGGGAACAAAAACAAGCTGATGAAAACATAGATACAGGATGTATAGCGGGAGTGGGCACGAGAGCCCCTGCGGGCTGGCTCTGGCCCACCACCTGGATTGATTTGGCCCACGGAGGCCCTGCCACTCCCCCACCCCAGGCCAGTTAGGTTACGTCTACACTGCAGGATTTTGCCTGCAGAGAGTATGATATTGAAATGCTCATTAGCATTTGTCGCGCTGTCATTTGCATATTCTCTGCCGATGCTTTTTGCACAAAAAGAAGCCATATAGATGGGTCCATTTTGTGCAAAAAAATCCTTTTGTACAAGATCCTTATACCTCCTTTTTTGTTCAGAGAGCAAAGGCAATCTGCCAATGTGGGCAGAGAGTGCATAAGCGACTGGAGGAATACCGTGCTGAAGGAGATCCCAGCAGAGCATGGAGAAAGGAGAGCACCCCAGGAGAGAGTATGTCCTACACGGCAGCACTCCAGGAGTCCTTCGTGGATAGGCACCCCTTCCAGACCTTGCAGATGAATGTTCCCTCCTCCCCAGGTTCCGTGGCCTGGACTCCCAGGAGCCCTAGAATGCATTTGTGTGAGAAGGACAGCCTCACACTCCATCCCCAAGGATGTACCGTGGACCAAAAGGCTGTCCTCCCTCCCTGAAGTTCCCCCCTGGATTCCTGTTCTGTCACTGCTCTGTGTTTCTTTAATAAAAGCACATTACTTTGGAACAACAGTCCCTTTATTGCCTGTATCGAAGGGCTGGGAGGTTACAGACAAGCACACTGCATACAGGGGCAACTTCTTGAGAGTGACATGCAAGACTCTCAAAACTGGCCATTCATAAAACTATCTTTCAAAGCATCTTTGAGGTAGGCTAGATCTTCAAGGATCATTGTTGGCATTTCAACATCTCTGACTGTAATTTTTCAGTCAGTTCCAGACTGTAGCTTGCCAAACAGGCAGGAGTTCCTAAAGATGCTTGTGTTATGCATCTTAACCGACTATTCCATACTGATGTCAGTGAAATAGCCCTTATGGTCCACCAGCTCTTGCAGCAGCATCGGTGGTCGGGTGCAGGACTAGCACTGACAGGCAGAACTGAACCTGGGACCTTGGAGCTTAGAGCATGAGCTTCTACCACATAAGTGAAATGCAGATTCATTCTTTCTCTTTGTGAGTGGTCTAAGTGCCACTAAGTGGGGTAGTACCACACGCCGTAAGAGGATGGGTTACACAGGAACTGTGGGATAGCTATCCACAGTGCATTGCTCTCAAAGTTGAAGATATCCACCATACCAGGGATGCGCTACTTCGACCTATGTTGAATTCTTGCACACTGTGGGGACATGTACCTTCAACTTTACAAAATCGGGTGCTAAAAAAACCCGACCTTAATACATTTGACATTATCTAATAGTGTAGCTATGGCCTTTATGTGAAGAACCACTAAGGCCTCTTAAAAAGAGCTACTTTGCCACTATAAAAGGAAATGAATCTTCCGGTGGAGCATGTTGACTTTGCCAAGGAAACAGCAGCAAGGCACATTCATTTAAACTGCCTACTGCTAAATCAATTGTGCTTGTGACTTTCAGAATAACAGCTGCATTTACATTCACTTTATCCTGGTCACTCAAAGCTGGATCTAAAACTTATTGAAGTCAGTGCAAACATTCCCATTGACCTTAAAGCAGAGGTGGGCAAAAGAGCCTCTGTGGACCAGATCTGGACTGCGGATGTCCTGCTGCTCCCCTGAGGGTGGCCTCAGGCCAATCAGAGTCTGGGGGCAGAGGGAAGCACACGAAGTTTTCTCCACCTTGCCCCTGCCTTGCCAGGAGTGCTCAGTGCTTAGAAGTGCCACATGCTCCTGGGAGGGTGGGAGGATACTTTGTACGCTCCCCCACCCCTAATCCCCAATTGGCCTGGGGGCAGAATGAGGACCACGTGACGTCTCCCACCACCAGGATCATGGGCACCTAAGGGAACCTCTGGCGGGGGGCAAAGATTTCACGTGCTCCCCCACTGCCAGACCAAACATGGTCTGTGGGTGGGGAAACAGAGAAGTATCCTGGCCCCACCCCGTCCTCCTGAGGCCCTGCCCCTACCGGTTCGACCCGGGGCCATTTCAAAGATTTCTTAAGTGGCCCCGAGTAAAAAAATATTGCTCACCCCTGCCTTAAAGGTTGTTGAAACAGGTCCTGAGTCTTGAGAGTGAATTTGATGTTTCCAAAGCCAGAAACTTGCCTATACTCGCAAAGTGCTGGCTTCTGTCCTTTATGTCTGCTGGTTCTACTGACAGCATCTGAACTCTTTTCTCCTCTACTGCCAGTTTCTCCTGTTGTGAATACTTCTTTGATCATCAACTCCTGGCCACTGACAATTTAAAACTCATTCTGCCCACTTGACACACTCATTATTATTGTGCCATGGCCTATAACAGATTCCTTTAAAGTGAACTTCAGCGGGAAACCACCATATTAATTATCTGAAAGAAATGGCTGAGAAAGAGGCTGCGGCCTCTGGGAAAAATCTGGCATTTCATTTCTCAGCAGAATTCCCACTTTTGCAAAACACGGGGCCAGTTCCTCCACTGTGCAAACCACGTAGCTCTTCAGGAGTGTGATGGGGCGGCCGGGGTAATGGACACTAACCCCGCGCCCCACACACAAGTGCCGGGGGGCATAGCCGCTGGAGGATCGGGATGGCTCTGCCGGGCCTGTTCGGCGGTGGCCACCCACGCAGGCGCTCTCAGCCCCAGAGTCAGCTGCCCGAGGGCGGGGCCGCGAGTGGCCCAAGGCGCAGGCGCTGGCGTCCCTGGAAAGGGCGCCGGCTTTAAAAGAGGACTCCCTGCCTGGAGAGAGGAGGGAGGGCCCCACCCCGGTGGACGGGACCCCACCCCGGTGGACGGGACCAACAGGGCGCTGGACCCGAACCCGGACTCGGACCCACGCCGGTAGAGCCACGCAGGCCCCCGTGGCAGACCAGAGCGGCGAGAGGAGGTGAGCCCCCCTGGCAGGGAAGCGGCGGACATAGACTGACCAAGGCGGAGGAAGGAGCCCAGGACAGGGTCGGGGAGCCCCGGGGACCGGTGAGTTGTGGCTATGGCCCCCCCGGTTGGGCAGCACGTCGCAGACGCCTACCCTTAGGGTCCTGGGCTGGGACCTGGAGAGAGGGTGGGCCCAGGTCCCCCTCCGCCTCGGAGAACTCCTATAAAGACTGACCGT